TCCGTTTTGAAAGTTTGTTATATTAAAAGGATCAAAATAAAATAAAATAAATAAATATAGTTAGTACCATGAAGGAGAGAGTGTATGGGTGCTAGTCCACTAGTTTTTATGGTCGCGATAAGAAAAGAAGATAATTCCCACAATATTGCACTTTATCATTTCCCCGGTGCTCCGTAAACGTTCTTTCAAACGCGGACATTTATTTCGAGGGTTTCCTCGAGTGCGTGTACGTAGGTGAAGTTATAAGATGGAGTGAGAGAGAGAGAGAGAGAGAGAGAGAGAGAGAAAGAGAGAAGAGAAAGGTAGGGGTAAAAAAGAAAAACGTTTTCCGGAATAGGAGCGTAAACGTCGCGCGCAGCTGCAAGAAGTGCATCAGACTGTTTCCTGTCTCGTCTCTGCAGTCAGAGTAGAATCTACTTGCAATTTCTTCTCTTCTTCAACCCCTCTCTTTTTAACTTTCTTTCTCAACTCGTTGAAAATTCTTTCGCCCATAGGAGAAAAACGTCTCCTCTCGATTGGTAACATAGCTGTGAATGCTGGAAACGTTTTCCTATATTTTTACTGTTCCATATACATATACATATATATATATATGTACATTTCCTACGAGTAGAATTTTGATGGTGGACGAATGGAGAAACACTTTTTTAGTCGTACGAAGCGTGTTACTTTACGAATAACTCGTTCGTACATTTATCTTTGTACGACAAATTTGCTTCCGTTAGAATGAGTAAGAATGAGAACGAAGGGCCCGTTTATTATTTTTATAATATCGCTAAACGATTCGACCAATTTTTTTTTTTCCCCCTAACATTACGAGCTGTTACACTTATCATGATGCGTTAGTTAAATCATTTTTCATCGAGCAATTCGCTCACGCCATATGCTCGTTATACTTTTAACAAAAGTAATGTTATAGGACACGCGCACGACTTTCTTTCCCTTATTAACGTGTTTTTTTTTCCTATATATATCCCTAAATTAAAAGAGGCTCTTTATGAAAATGTACGAGCAATTATTGAAATTCGTGCTAAGGTCAAACGTATTTAACGTAATATATAAACGTATCTATTATATTGTATATATATATATATATATAATGTATAAATTGATTCTTATTTATTTATTATGAATTTGATTAATTATATAGATATATATATATATAATATTATATAATGTATATTATATAATTATATAAATTATATCATTACCCATAAATATTGTTTTTGTTGCTTAATGGTGTCTTTGTTCCGATAAAGTGTCATTTTTTAATAATAAAACGTTAGAGAATTGTTCTCGTAAAGAGAAGCCAATTAATGAACAGGTTGAAGAGACGAGAAGTTTTGTTTCTACGTGAATCGATATACAAAGCATGAAAATACCGGGACAAACTACAAGTCCAAGATCGGAAGAGTGTACTTCGCGAAGTGTAATGAAGAAAATCACGAAGCAAAATAAGTTTTAGAGAAGTTTGGTTAACCTTGACCCCTTAAGTATCATATCGGCTAATGGTAAGGAATATTTAAAAATAGCTTCCATAAAATTTTACTTTTTTTATTAATTAAGGACCCTGTAGGAGGGACGCGCCATGTATATTGCTAGGCTGAAAATGTGGGAGGACAGCTTCCGTTGCATCGCGCAGCCATGTTTATCTTTAGTATGTATTAATGGCTGTGGTTAATTGAATCATTCGCGCGCAATCACGTGACTACACGAGTTCCTGTTCCTTAGCAATGTACATGGTGGCGCATCCCTCTTATAGAGTCCCTATTATTAATAAATTAATAGCGCATCTATAGGCAAGTAGCAGGTATTACAAAGTACTTGAAATAAAAAGAAATGAACGACTAGGAACGACGGAACGAAACGACATTAATGTTGCAATTAATATAGATCAAATAAGATCGTAACTTTGCCCTTCCCATTTTTTTTCTTTCTTTCTTCTTTGATCGTAAAACACGCAAAAGAGGGAGCTAAGTAAAATAGAAAAAATTTACCCAACTTACTACGTACGTAACTCTTAGAAAGATTTCACAAGATAGAAAGAAAGAGAAAAAAAAAAAGGAAAAGGAAAAGTGTGTACGATAAATCTTACAAGGGCGGAAGGAAAATGGCGTAAGTTGTATAGGAAGAGTAAACCCGTTTGATCACCGAGAAGAAAAGTTATGCAATTTAGCAAACGTTGGCACGAGACCATCGGCATCGTCCCTTCCCCCTTTTTTCGCCTCGAGCACTGACTACGACGATCCTCCCTCTTTTCCCGCATCAAAAAGTGTGGGGTTTTCTTCTTCTTACTGAAAATTCTGGGTTGAAGGGCTAACCGGTATCTTCTTCGATAAATGGTTCGTTTATTCGAATCCGAAGATCGTAGGAAATATTATCTCGGTGCACGGAAAAGCGTAACAGTCTTTCTTTGAAAATTGAAAGTGTTTCTTTTCTCATTATTCAATTTTATTCGATATAAAGTTTAACTTATTATTTTATCGCATCTTTGAGGCATCCCAGCCAACCTTTACTCTTTTGGATCTTTCTCTCTCTCTCTCTCTCTCTTTCTTTCTGCACTCCTTTATCATCTTCGATGAACGACGCTCTGTTAATTAATTTTGTATCGTGTTTTAGCGGTAGAAGCGGAAACTGGAATTTTCCAATTTTCAAAGAAAACCCACGAGTTCTCTCTCTCTCTCTCTCGACATAGCAAGCTCCGACGAAGTTGGCTGATTTTATCGGTGGTTTAAGCCTTTTGCAAAGTTATTCGATACGCCAACCATATTGAAACTGCTCTAGCTCTTTTATTGAGTCAACAAGGAAACCAATTGAATAATCGATACACTGTTGAAACAAAATTAGATCAAAAAATTTGACAAGATTGTTATAACCTAAAGATTGTTTTTTTTTTGTTTTTTTTTTTTTTTCATTTGAAAAAAGGAAAAAATTGATGTAAGCATAAAAGATACGAATTCAGCGTGAAAATGTGAAACCTTTGGGGCCAAAGGAATTAGCATCTTGGCAAAACTTTTCTCAAACGAAGTCGATTCTTCGACGACACGTTGCAAAAGGATGCAAATATCTAAAGAATCTCAGGAAAAAAAAAAAAATGAAAAAGAAAAAGAAAAAAAAAAAGAAAAGAAAAAGTCGTTCGTTCGCAAGTTCGTCTGAAAAGTGTAAAGTAGGTACTCCGTGCTGAGGAATCGTCGAGCAAGATAAAGTTAACACTATAAGAACCCGTCAAATTGGACCCAAGAGATACGTCTCCGCAGAAGAGGATGCGCACGGAAATGAGAATCGTAAGGAACATGAAAAGTTTGAAAAAGCATCGTGGAAGAAGAAGCATCAACGTTCTCTCTTTATCGTCATTTTCTCTTTGTAAGTATTATCAAAGACTCGTAACATGGAAAATATTCGACTTTTCGTCTTACAACAGACGAATAAACTTTTTATTTTACGTAAAACGTTCATAAAAGATTATTTCTCGTATGATTTATAAAACAAAACAAGTGATATCATATATTTTCATAATTATTGTGCCAATCAATAGTAAAAACAAAATAATATTTTTCTTTTGAAAGATTAATCGTTATGGTCATGATGTTCATGTTAAAGTTCGCAAAAACGCATGGATTGATAATCAAAATTAAAAATCAAAATTAAAAAGAAAGTTTATATAATGATCAAGTATATTATGCATATTATTTTCATCAACTTATTGGATTGCCAACTGATTGTGGATTTTAAATAAGAATGAAAATTCTAAATTGTTGCTTAAAAATATAAGTCTATTCAATTAGGTACTATCCACTTTTGTTGATGACCTTTTGTCATCGGTCAGGTAGTGTCATAATGCCACGTTCATAATATATAAAAGTAATATACGTCGAATGTAATAATATGTATCGATATAATAACGCTCATAAATACGTTTTATCAAACTACCTTATACCAATTTTTGTATTATCTCGAAGCTCGTGATTTTATCAAACGACCTTATACCAACTTTGTTTTATCTCGAAGCGCTTGATCGCATAATGCATCCCGTCCTGCATCCTATCGCAATTCATCACGATCGTTGATGCGTCAAACTATTATTCCAAAGATATTTATCGATTAAAATTTCA